CGGTTTGGCAGCCTCACCTGGCTGGCAGAAGCTTGGTTTCACATGGACTAATAGCTGGGGACCCAGACGGTCTTTTCATCTCGGCCTGCCCAGCACGTACCTGGCTCCCAAGGAACCAGGCAGCTCTGGCTGGTCAGCCAGGGCTGGAGGAGAGCTCTCTGGACGTGGCCAACCAGGGGCTGTCGCCCAGGTGAAGGGGCACAGGGAAGACTCATGAACATGAGATGGTCTGGTCCCATGCTGGGCCCCCCATCGACTGGCTCACCTCAAGGAGAATGCCCTGCCTCCCAGCAGGTCACTGAGCGACAAAAGCTCCCCTGTGCCCATGGTGGCTGAGAGCACCTGGTGCCAATCAGCAGAAGAGTCTCCACCCTCAGCACAGATTTCCTTACCCTGAGCTCTGTGAGCCCAGCCCTGCTCTGGGCATTGGGAAGGGTCTCTGCCTGGAGAGTGTAGGGCAATGAAGGTGAACACTAGCAAAGGGAGAGCGCCTAGGACCACAGGTGGCTGGGTGTGAGAGCTACCAGGAGATGCCCTGAGATGCCTGGAGATGCCCAGAGAAAGGCTCTGGGGGTGCAGAGCAGACTTTGCAGAGGTGACAGGCTCTGAGAGGAGGGGCGGGGAAAGGCCCCCAGGATGGGGGACAGTTGGAGCGGAAGCAGAGAGGCCGGAATGGGTTGAGGTCATGGGGCTGCAGGAACAATGGACTGGGACGGGCTGGCCAGGGTGTGTGCCATGTCCAGAGCAGAGAGAGTCTTGTCCTGCAGGCCCCAAGCAGACCAGGGCTAATGAAAGCTTTGTCTGGGGAAGGTCCAGGTGCCGGCCCCACCGGGCAGGCGCCAGGCCCTGCGGATTGGGTGGGGCCAGAAGGCACCGGGTCTGGGCAGTGGNGCACAGGGAAGACTCATGAACATGAGATGGTCTGGTCCCATGCTGGGCCCCCCATCGACTGGCTCACCTCAAGGAGAATGCCCTGCCTCCCAGCAGGTCACTGAGCGACAAAAGCTCCCCTGTGCCCATGGTGGCTGAGAGCACCTGGTGCCAATCAGCAGAAGAGTCTCCACCCTCAGCACAGATTTCCTTACCCTGAGCTCTGTGAGCCCAGCCCTGCTCTGGGCATTGGGAAGGGTCTCTGCCTGGAGAGTGTAGGGCAATGAAGGTGAACACTAGCAAAGGGAGAGCGCCTAGGACCACAGGTGGCTGGGTGTGAGAGCTACCAGGAGATGCCCTGAGATGCCTGGAGATGCCCAGAGAAAGGCTCTGGGGGTGCAGAGCAGACTTTGCAGAGGTGACAGGCTCTGAGAGGAGGGGCGGGGAAAGGCCCCCAGGATGGGGGACAGTTGGAGCGGAAGCAGAGAGGCCGGAATGGGTTGAGGTCATGGGGCTGCAGGAACAATGGACTGGGACGGGCTGGCCAGGGTGTGTGCCATGTCCAGAGCAGAGAGAGTCTTGTCCTGCAGGCCCCAAGCAGACCAGGGCTAATGAAAGCTTTGTCTGGGGAAGGTCCAGGTGCCGGCCCCACCGGGCAGGCGCCAGGCCCTGCGGATTGGGTGGGGCCAGAAGGCACTGGGTCTGGGCAGTGGAGAACCAACAACCAGGCTTGGTCTGGGCACAGGAGTGGGAGGGAGGCATTGGAAAAGTTCTCAGATGGAAGGACACAAGAAGCCACCTCCTTCCCGGTGGACCCTGTCCAGTGGCCTCAGCTCCAACAGTGGGGGCCTCTCAGACTGAGAGGGACTGCATCCAGTCCTGGGAGGCCCTGGAGCTCACCCTAACTCAGTTCTGCTTTACTGTGCAAAACTGTCCCCTCGCCTACAAAACCAGGGGCTTGGCCTCTGAGAGGTTCCTGACTTGAGAGGAACAGGAAGAGAGGAAGGCTTTGGGCTGAGGAACACTCAGGAGGGGGTGGTTGTAAAATCCCACGGGTCCTAGAAGGGCGGGAGAAGGGCAGAAGGCTGGGGAGTCCCAGGGCCCAGCTCACCAGGGAGAGCCCCTCCGTGGCCCACCGAGTGTCAGCTTCCCCACGAGCCCCACTGGTCTCCCAGGTGGGGGTGCACCCCCAGGCTCCCCCTGCTGTCCAGCCCAGTCTGTCCTGTGACCGAGTGGTCGGCTCGGCTCCCAGAGAGTCATGTTTCTGGCCTTTGGAATGTTTTGATCTGCGGCTCGTCCCACCCGAGGCTGGAGATTCCCAAGGAAGCTCGAGATAACCAGACAAGGGGCCTGTGTAGGGCTCCACTGTCCTTTGTAGTCAAAGCAAGGACGCTGCCAGCTGATCGCTATCGGCATACGGGGGTGCCTGGGACCCGGCACCGCGGCAGCAGCTGTCCTGCCTGCCGGGGACAGGTGCATGCATGCCACGCTCCCCCTCACGTGTGTCCCACTGTTTGGAATGGAGGGGGCACTCTTGTTAGTCACTGCGACCGTGAGGCGTTCCTGGCTTTCGGGGCCTCAGGCCTGAAAATGCCCAGGTACCTGCACAGTGAGGAATTGTCCTCCCTGAGTGCCAGCAGCGCCCACGCCATTCCACCCTGAGGCCTGGCCCCGCCGTGGACCGCGTGCCTCTGTTTTCCTGAAACTATGGAGGCTTCTCTGTGGCCACGGGGTGACACCAGTGTGGACCCCTTTCCTGGGCACAGTTATTACACCAGCTTTACAGATGGAGAAACCGAGGCACATTGGATTTAAGTAACATGCCCAAGGCTGCCCATTGGGCAAGGGGCGCCTGGCTCCAGAGCCTGTGTTCTTTATCACAGAGCCACCCTCTGCTGCTGATGTCTCAGCCCAGTGAGCCTGAGGGAGGTGCCTGGAGCCCCAAGGTGCCACCACCATTTCAGCCCGATAGCAAAAGGAGAAACGTCTCAGGCTTCAGCTAGGACACAGGCCACTTGTGCAGGGAGGGCTCATCCACCACCAGACAATGCCACCCACCAGCGGCAGGGACATGGGAGCTGGGGTGGGGTTTCCAGAAATGGGTGACGCCGCTGGAGTGTCCCTAATGGGGGCTGGGAAGTGCAGTCCACAGGGGTGTCCCCGCCTGCCCCCGGTGGGCAGAGCCAGCACCACTCCCCATGGGCAGGGCTGCCCCTGCTCCTTCCCCAGCCGGGAGGGCAAAGCCCCAAAGCCTCTGTGAGGCTCAATCAGCAGGATCTCAGTGGCACTGGATCTGGGCCAGGATAGGCGCCTGGTGCCTCATCAGGTGACACATGATGGCGGGGAGTGTCATCGGCTGAGAACAAGGCGCTCCAGTTGCATGTCCATTTAAGGCTTAGCTGGCTGTCCTGTTTGGGAGTCGTCATCGGCTTTCCCTCCAAAGGGCCATCATCACCTTCCTCCCTGAGAGAGTGGAGGCGAGGGGGGGTGGGGCCTAATTGCATATTTTGCGTGTTATCTGCAAGGTGTGCATTCTGTCCGCATGCTGGCAAAACTGCCCCCTCCCCTGCCTTCTGCTCGTTCCTGCCCATCTACCCTCCCGACACCCACACACCAGCTCCCTCGGGGCAGGTGGGTTCGACCCAGTGTGGGGAAGAAACTGCGCCTGCCTGGGTGCGTGGGTGGCATTGATGGCGCCCCACTGCCAAGTCCGTGGCTTCTGAGTGTGGCTGCTGTGTCTGGGGGGGAGCTTGGCCCACGGCTGATTTCCAGCTTTCGGAGGCTCTCCCTGCGGCGAGGAACAGGGACCTGGCCAAGGGCAGGCCCTCCCCAGCCTGGGTGGCTAGACCTGGTGGGGAGGGGAATCACCCAGTTGCCTGACCTACCCCCCACACACATACACTCACAGTCACACATACATATTCATAAACATACACAGACTTGTACACACTCACACACACCTACACAAACACTCATACAAAGTCATACAATCACACTCACACACATAAACACACACGCATTCACACACACACATTCACACTCACACACTCATAAACTCACACACATTCACACCCACACTCACACACACTCACACTCCTCACACTCACAGGTGGAGCAGGCAGGCTCTGGGTTGCTGCAGAGGTGAGCCCAAGGCAGCACCTGTGTGGAGATGTTTCCCAGGCTCCGTGTTGATCCTCTGGTCTCAGGACAAGTCAGCGCAGGCAGAACCACAGGCCCCGTGCTCTGGGAAAGTCCTCTGCACAGCTCTGTCCCAGCTCATTCCCACCACGTCCGGGGCTCCGCTGGCTCTTCCCAGGGAGGCTGGGTTCCAGGTGGCCTCCAACAGCCCTGGGAGCGCCTCACTGTTGTACATTTTCCCGTTGGGTTGAGCCGGTGCCCAGTGAGCCTGACAGAGCCCAGGAGGCCCCAGCAGCCCCACCGCCTCCTCCTGTGCAGGTGCCCCCGTAACAGGAAGCCCAGAAGCAGAAGGCTCTCCCCTGTAGCCTTTGAGGTGAACCCCCTAGAGGGCCTATTCCAATCTGCTTCTTTCCCTGGCAGAGGGGAGCCAAGATGAGGAGATTAGCGGAGAAATAACAGTGGGAAACGGTGGTGGCCGGGGCAGGAGACATTCCCCCTTGCTGCTTACAGTGGCCAAGCAAGGCCACTGCGTCTGGAGCCTCTGGTGTCTGGGGATGGCACAGGACAGCAGAGCCAGGGCCGGGGGACACAGGCTCAGGTCCCACTATTGCCCCTCCCTCTGTGAGCAACTGTAGGGCCTCGGGCTCCCCTCCCACATGGGACCAGATCCGTGAGGTCACACATTTTTATCTGCAGCCCACAATGAGAAATGTTTTACAGGGCAGCCTGGTATCCAAACACAGCACATCTTCACTCCCTGCCTGGCACTGTGACATCTTCTAGTCCCGTTTGTATTACCCTAGTCTGTTCTTTAAATTGATGGCCACGGTCTGCTAAATTGATTTCACCATCCACAGTGGGTCACAGCCTCTAGTTTGAAAGATAATGTATCAGATGCTGGCTCAGGTGCCTTGTGGGTTTCCATGAGCATTGCTGTGGGGCCGGGGGAGGTGGGGGTTCTCTGCTGAGCCCTTCTCCCCCTCTCTGGCCAGATCTACAACGGGACCCTCAAGCGGGAAGCTGACAACCGACGCTTCAGTTCCTACAGCCAGATGGAGAACTGGGGCCGCCACTACCCCCGGGCCACCTGTAACACAGGCGCGGGCAGTGATATCTGCTTCATGCAGAAGATCAAGGCCAGCCGCAGTGAGCCCGACCTCTACTGCGACCCGCGGGGCACCCTGCGCAAGGGCACCCTGGGCAGCAAGGGCCACAAGACTACCCAGAGCCGGTACAGCTTCTACAGCACCTGCAGCGGGCAGAAGCCCGTCAAGAAGTGCCCCGTGAGACCTCCCTCCTGCACCTCCAAGCAGGACCCCGTGTATGTTCCGCCCATCTCCTGCAACAAGGACATGTCCTTTGGCCACTCAAGGGCCAGCTCCAAGTGAGTGCTGCTGGGCTGGACTGGGGCTGGGGCTGGGGCCGGGGCCTGGACGGGGCCGAGCTGGGGAGGGGCAGGGCCTGATCTGGAAGGAGGCCCCAGTCAGCCTGGCTATCCTGGCAGGAGATGGCCAAACAACTCAACCTCTGCCCCCAGGGAGTTCTTTGTCGTCTTCCCCCCCCCCCCC